ATATATATATATATATATATATATATATATATATATATATATATATATATATATTTATATATATTAACATAATGTTCTTATCGTATTTTCTATATGTGCATATGCAGTTATGTATTTAGTGTGAGATCGTCTTCAAGCTGTTCTGACACTGGCACCGACGCCGCAACGTTTTTGATGCATCTGGAACCTTTAAATTATGTCCGCTATTTTCTATTCAACTAGAGCCTTGGCCAGTCTCTTATATCTAGGATCTCTAGTAACACTCTCACCATCCCGCCATCTAACGGAGAACATAGTCAACGGACATTTCTGTGGTGAGGAGATGATGTTTCTTACGCGTAAATTCACGATTTTAGACTTTGAGCTAAGATAGCTCAGCTTCTGGAACAAAAAGACTGGAAAGAGAAAAAAAAGTAAAGACAGTTTTATTAAGTAATGTAAACCCAAGGAATCGATTAAGTCCCTCCTTAAGAACTTCGTCAATTCAGCTGTTATAGCCGAAATGAGGATCTAACCTACATTCAACTAAAGCCGTCGTGTAATTATACGCGGTAGGCCGCGTTGCTTCGCGCTTGCACTTGGCTTCGCGACACTACTAGTGTCGCTTGATTTTTGTCACGTCAAACAAAACTTTGTTCGACCAATCAAAAAATTGGTTTGGACCATTCTAAAGAAGTGTTTCTTTGATTCAACCAAATGGTTCTCTCTCTCTGTGTCAAAAATTTTAAATATATATATTTTAGCAAGATAAACTCTATTGATAAGTTTATTGAACTATTCTAGAAAATATTATAAAATTGATGAAAATTTTATATAAAATAAAAGCTATAATATATTCTCTCCATGTGCCTATTTTTTAGTTTTGATTTCGATAGATAGTTTTCTTGTTCATTAAACGACATGGAGTTCCCAGAGATTCATATCTTATATTCGTGAGTCATAACGTAGGAAAAAGTGTATACACTTGTTCTGATCTACAACCTATTGTACTTTTTGGTGATTATAATAGTACCACCTGCTTTGCTTATAATCACTGTGCCTACCGCGACATCCTATGGTTGAAGATAGCCATGATGCATTACACCATATCCCGCGCTATGTGTGCCATGCTCAAAGCAGCCGATCTGATGTTCCTGGCGCTAAATTTCACAGAAAATCACTTGTGAAAAGAATTTTGTCCACGGTGCCGGAATATTTAAAATTATATATTCGCGTTTCAATTACCATGGCACAGCAGATAGTAACACTGTTGTTCTGCCTTGGACGATATCTCGATCTTTCGTGTTCTTCATATGATATGTCATCGATAATTTATAACCAAATTTTCTTCAATTCTGTGAAAAATTTGTAGCAATATGAGTAATACTGACTTGCCAATATTCCTTTGTTTTCCTTTTTTGTCAATCGCAGTATTACGGTTTTTCCCATTTACAAATTACGTGACTAATATATGCGATAACAGTTGCACGGTCTATAATTCCCTTAATTGTAAGAGCAAATCGAATGAATCATACATCGCATAAATCAAATTCAAAATAAAAAACGCGGTCAAAATCTATTGTAATTATACAAAGTGTGTTAAAACTATATGATGAAGTATGATATTTTAAGACTCGTGGTTCCTTGCCGCGGAATTTTTGATTGATGACGTTAAAACGCATGTCTAAAATCCTGGTGAAATAATCATTAAATAACCATAACATTAACGTAACATGCACCTTTCTTTTTAACCTACTTTTGCTCATAATTTCATCATGTTAATTTTATGATTATTTATTGATTATCAAAGTAAAAAGAAGATTTTTGGAATATTTTATAAACGTGCTTAATCAATTTTGGTAAATTAGTTAAATACCTTTTAAAATTTTTTACACGATTTTTTTTCGATGTACAGTATATTCAACGCATATTTCCAATAACCTGTTTGTGACAAGCAATTAATAATAAAATTATTTTCAGATTGGAGCACTCTGCTATGTTTGGAGGTTTCTTCCGCTTATAGAGAACATAGTAACTTTACCAATAGTTTTAAAAGTGCAGATTCGTTTCTTACTTAAAAAGGCGTCCTTGCTTTTATTTTGTTGTACAGCTCCGAATTCAGAATTGTAGATGATGCCCATGACAAGCTCTTTGCAAATTACCAAATCTACGGATATACAGATATGAAGAAATGCGTTTACAAAATTAAAGATACCGTCGATCGGGTCGATTATTCGACCCGATCGATAATTCCGATAATTCATTGGCACTTATCATTTTTTCGATAATAAATCTGAAATGCGGTTGTTTTAAATATGGCGTCTTTGATAAATAGAACTTGGTGTAATTTTTAACGTAAAGGTAATGTTTGAACCGAATTCTTCGGTTATTTTCAACGGACTTTATTTTAGGACTTTATGTATATGATAGGTTAGCTGCTTTAATTTTTTAATAAAGTCTTATTTATGTATGTAAAGCAAACTCTAAATTTTATTCACATAGAGATTATAAAACACATATGACTCAACATATATTATTTGTATTTTCCGTTTTATTTATATAAATTTAACAACCAAAGATAGCATTAGTCATATTATGTAGTTAGATCAATTTTTTCATAGTTATAAAAGAGTATCTACAGGGTGTCTGATTCGTATAAGAGCTAATATATAGTTAGAATAGGTCAGGGTAAGTAATGCAATCGGTGCCTTTTTTAAACAACGTAAAATTTTGAGATATTAACGATAAAGAATTTCTACCGAGCGGCAGCTCAATTAGTACGCGCACTGCGGTGAGACGAACGCTCTACGCGCTGGGCATGACAGGCTAGCTGGGCCAACCAGCTAGCAACGCATTGCAAGGATTTTCATTTACATTATACGCAACGTCCAAGTTTGTCATATATTTTTTTATAGTTAAGGAGATTAAATAAATACGTATGACTAATTATATTGACGACCAATTAAATCGGCTAATTACATATGGATAATAACAAGTTTTACTATCATCTATTTGTCAATTGTGCTTCTAACTTCTCTTAATGCACTTTCTATATCGCTCGCTTATTGATGTAACTTTTACTAGATCTGCCGCTAGTCTCGAACTGCAAAATATTCTTCTACAAGTTGACACTCTAACAATTAGCATTATTAATCTCATATACAGGTTTGGTACTCTAGTTTGTTATACATTGCGCTTAGCGCAATTACACGTAATTACTTGAAAAACTTTTGCTTATCATAATACGGCCAAATGTATTGTGCTATTTATTTCACACGGATAATGAGTAAATATTAAGCAACTTTGTTTCGACGTTCAGATCTATACATTATTGTTGATAAATAATAAGAGATCGATATATGAATATCAGTACAATCATAGACTTTTATGTGATAATATAACTTAACAAATTATGTAATATTTTATATAATGCTGAATACAGGGACACATATACAATATTTAATATATGTATATAATTAATATTTTATAAATAACATGTCATTTTAGGTTCTGAATGTCTTTTAAATACTCGCAAAGAAATTATTTTGCGACAGTTCCCTTTTGTGATAGATTTTTAGCATCTGTGTGTTTTATTTGCATAAAATTTTAATTTGTAATTCTGAATATAGGAATATACATGTATCTTTTAAATAATAAATTGTAATTTCAAGTGAGAGTGTCTTCGGGGAAGTTATGTTGCAGCTTGCAACAATAGTTTTCTCTGATGAGTCTTAACGTCTGCATGTGTTATTAACTTCACTAGCTCTCCTGCTAACTTGCTGTTACCAACAGCTAATAGTTTTGGTGACATCATATTGAACTTTTCACCTAGCCGAGAAACGAAAAATAATATAAACGACATATATATTCGGCGATATATTTTTTCCATCGATTTCATGTATCAATGATGTAATTTAACGAAGTAATACAGTACCGTTTGTGTCGATCACAATACCGCCGGCCTCCTTAATGATAAGAATACCTGCAGCTACGTCCCAAGGCATCAGATGATCGGAGTGGTAACCCTCGACAGCTCCCATGGCTACGTGACACAGAGTCAACGCCGCTGAACCCATAGTTCTTATTCCATGTGCTATCGAGACAAAAGCTTCCAATCTGCCCAGTATAATATCGCGGACGTTCTCGATAGTCGCGTACGAAACTTCCAAACATAGCAGAGAGTGCTCCAGTTCTGGAAATAATTTTATTATTAATTGTCTGTCACAATCAGGTTATTGGAAATATACGGTAAATACACTGTATATCGAAAAAAAATCGTGTAGAAAATTTTAAAAAGTATTTAATTAATTTACCAAAACTTAATTTTACAAGAGTTTAAGGGAATGCTGAAGTCGATGATAAACTTGAAAAATGTCGGTAACGTAGACGATTGTCGCTAACACCATCACGCTATCCTTTTCGTATTTCTTGTACATACAGAACTTATGTAAATATGTGTTGCTTTGTTTTCTTTGTTTTATCGTATTCACCTAACCACGCATGATATTTTAGATATTTTCCTGCAAGCTTATCCGATATTCTAAAAGTCCATTTATAATAGGATTGGTAGTAAACAATAAAATATAAACAGTAAACAAATTGACCAATCACAGTCTATTTTTCTTATAATAATGATGACCCTTAAGGCTCCTAACATCTCGCATTGTCTATCTCTTTTTAATGATGTCAGAAGCGAGAAAATACATGCTAAAAATTCTTGCAAAATACGTTAAAATAAAAATATATATCCATAAAGTAACACTTGCAATCGATTAAATAAATTTGTGAAGTATTCCGTGCACTCTTCTTTTGCTCTAACAATCAATAACTTATTGTAAATTAACCTGAATAGAAATAGGCGAAAAAATAGGTTAAAAAGAAGCCTTTTTTGAATATTACGTTGATAATCAATATAATATTTCAATAGTCATTAAAATAAGAAAACCATTTGCCTATAAAAAAAGTACGCCAAGTGCTTTTTATGTAAGTTATTATAATTTTTTTCAACATTATTGTATTTCTCTAACTATTTTATTTTTTATTTAATAATATATATATACAGGGTGTCCCGAAGTCCCATGATGACCCTTGGTGAGAACGTAGAACGGATTGAGGTGAGCAAGAAAGTCCTGTGCCGTTTTGCGATATTCGCAATAGTTTTTGAGAAATTAATTATTTTGTCTCAACA